TGGCCCAAAAAAAAAAGGAAAAGAAAAAACGAAAAAAAGAAAAAAGAACTGGGGGGGCCGGGAATCTCTCCACAAACTGAAACCGGTCCGGTCTCTCTCTCCCAAGATACACCTACATACACCTGCTGCTACCGGTAGCAGACGAGATGACCCTTCCCAATTGGTTAGCACCCTACCACCGCCAGATACCAGGGGGGAGATCCACTTGCCTAGGGCTTGTTCATTTCTGGCCGTCTTTTGGTAATCGACGGGCCCAAATGGAGAAGAATCCTAGTAAGTGGGACATCGTCCCAGTCCCAGGTCCCCTGGCACAGTACTGGACCTTCTGCTTGCTGACTTCTGGGCACCCAGGATTATTCGTGCTGCTCCCACTAGTAGTAGAGGGGAGTGCAAAAAAAAAAAAAGGATAGGCATTATTAAGAATGTATTGTAGAGAGAATTCTGGTCAGATACGTGCAGGGTGCATAGGCATTACTTCTGCCCGGAGTTTCTCCTGCGGCGAGGTCCCACTAGCGAAGGGGATTGGATTAAGCCTCTGAATCTGCACGTATTCTACGCACAGATGCAGAAAAGCAGATCACTGGCGATTTTTTGTGCACCACTGTCCGCATATGCGTCCAGCTTCAGGCGTGAAATCCTATCCTCTTTGCTAGTGGGACCTCGCCTTGCCCCTGGAAGCAGGGAGGATACAACCACGTCCTAAGTGGTTTCCAGTGGTTTCCTCTGGTGCTGCTTTCTGGTACTATAAGGGGCGTGGTTTCCGAAGGTGTTTGGTCCACTATAGAACATTGTAACTGTATCTGGACCTTGCCTTGGTCCCGATACATTTCAAAATGTTTTTTTCAGTTTGAATGCATGTGCTGCACATGTTGTCCAGATAGATGTAGACTGTTGTGTAGTGCAGCGAGGCCCTACGTGGGACCTCGACTCTGAAATTGTGAATCCACTGGCTAGGATTTCAAATTCATTCCACCCGCGAAACTTTGGCCGGTACCAGTCGAAGGGGAAAAAACGGAAAAGATGAAAAAATGGAGGAGAAAATAAATATGTCCAAGCTGTGCGATCCAACGGATTGGGAGTTGAAATTATACGTCTCAACTATCTTTTCTCCCTCTCTGTCTGTCTCTGTCTGTCTCTGTCTGTCTCTCTGTCTCTGTCTGTCTCTGTCTCTCTGTCTCTCTGTCTCTCTGTCTCTCTTCTCTCTTCTCTCTTCTCTCCGTCTTTCTGTCTTTCTATCTCTCTGTTTCTCTTCTCTGTCTCTCTGTCTCTCTGTCTCTCTGTCTCTCTGTCTCTCTGTCTCTCTGTCTCTCTGTCTCTCTGTCTCTCTGTCTCTCTGTCTCTCTGTCTCTCTGTCTGCGACTGTTCACCTACTTTCACCAGGCCCTGGCTTGCAGGAGGGATGGTCATCATCTTCTCCCTTCCTTTTCGTTTCTTGGCTTGCCACGCTTCTGTTCTGCTCTTGCAAACCAGTTCTCAATTTGGACGTGTAGTCATACTTGGATTGACAAGGGCTATGCTAATCTTATCATTCCACTTTTTAGCAGATGTCCCAAGTGAGTGCTCTCCTAAACCTCCACTTATTCTGGTTGGGCCACCTTTTCCCAATGTGGTGTCCGAAACAGGCTCAGATTTTGCCTCGCCCCTTTTTTCATTGCTGAAAACTGGTACGGTGCTGGTGCGGGAATTGGTCCTGCTCTCCTAAACCTCCACTTATGGCCTCTTTTTCCCAATGTGGTGTCCAAAACAGGCTCAGATTTTCTCCCTTACTGGTACCATAATCGGTCCCATTAGGCTTGGCAGGCTAGATTAGACTCGACAGGTCAGGTCCGGAGGTATTGGTGCTTCTGGTGTGGCCTGCCTTGGGTATCCACCAATTGTGAACTGAATGCTCTACCTCAGCGAGAGAGAGAGAGTCAGTGGATTCATAGTCGTGGGAGCCGTCTATGCCCTCTCCACGGAGGTCAAATCTCTGTGAGGCTGCCGCAATAACAGATAGACAAGCTCGCTAACCTCTGATGGTAGAGGAATGCTTCCTCTTTGAGTAGTGGAATACCTTTGACAAGCTCTGTAACTTGGATTTGAACCTGTAACCTGTCCTAAGTAGGAAAGCCTTTGAATACCTGAAGCAGTTTGGAGCTTAAATGGTGATCTGGGAGTTGTGCACGCCGTCTTGGATTGATAGGTCTCGCTTCTGGGGAAACAAGCACAGCTGTGGGACATGGGACTGGTTCTGAAGGATTGAAAAAGGATGGAAGTTTGACAGCTTGTTTTCCTGTGAAGTTGCCGCCGTCATTTTCGTTGATCTGAAATTGCGCGTTTGGAGCTCAAGTTTGGTGGGTGTGGAATGTTGGTGCTGAATTCCTGCCGATGGAGGATCAATCTGGATTGAGAATGTTGCTCCGTGGTAATTTGGCAGAGCCCCGAGGCTCTCGCCGTGGAAGTCGTTGCCAAGGACTGGAAATTTCCTGGATTTTACGAATAGGCGAGAATCAATAGCGCGGATTTAACCTGAGCCTAGGTTGAATTGGAGCTGAATTGCGCAGTAGGAATTTACGCAGGACAGTGAGCCAAAAAGTGCACTCAGTGCATACTAGATTTCTTGTTGCCGACTGCCTACTTATGGGAATTCAATGTCGAGAGGTCTAACTGTAGACCCAAGTTTGCTCAGAGTTAAATTTTAGCAACCTGCTACTGATGAGTGGGGACTGCTGACTGATGATTTGAGTATCTGATGGGTAAGCACATTTTGCTAACTCTAGACTCTGATGGCGCCTGCTGCTAAATTAAAACCCTATGGGTACGGGCACACAATTTATTCAGAGTTGGAGTTCCGCTGCTGACTGCTGACTGCTGACTGCTGACTGCTGACTGCTGACTGCGGACTAATCTCAGGAGGGGAAACTTGTCAGGGATAGGGGCTGGATGGAGGGGAACTTTGTCAGAAATTGACAGGCAATGTTTCCGTTGAGGAGTCCGCAGGTGTGCTGGTTTTGCCGTGGTCTTTCTTGCTCAACGATGTGCACACTGAATGTCTCTGGTTGATTCAAAGGGTGTTCATTTCCATGGCTCACTTCTCTCTTTTCCCCCTAGAAAGCAGGGTTACATAGCCTGCCGACCGTCGACCCCGACTGACGACTGTATTGCAGCCGACCGTCGACCCCGACTGACGACTGTATTGCAGCCGACCGTCGACCCCGACTGACGACTGTATTGGGGGCCGCTATGGGGGTGTTGGTGGGGTTATTAGGGGTTCTAGACCCTTTTTTTTAATCTTTTTTTTTTTGCAGGGTGTCGACGACCCCCGACTGGTAGGTGCTGACCGGCCCCGACCGGTCGGCGGGTCGGCAGCCGACCAGTCAAGGGCCACCTACCGTTGGGGTATGCAACACTGCTAGAAAGGGAAAATTCCGCTGACATTATTGAATCCAGCAGCAGGATTTGAACCTGTGATCTGTTTATGAGCGTCATGTGTTGTGTGGAACCACTCAGCCATGCAGTTAGGGTAGTTGCAGCTCTCTTCTGTCTAAATGATCGGACTGTTTCTACACATACATACATATGATGAGAGATGAACACACAACGACGGTGTTTGATCATGCTGCTGTGTCGGGGTTTAAGTCTCGGAGACCTGGCCAAGGTAGCCTTCAGTTCCCCTGCGGCCTTGAAGTTTCTCCTGGTCTATGAGATGTATCCGATGCTTGCCTTTTAAGGTTCAACTGGTCTCTTTGAGATGTTCTGTTTGGTGATTTGATGCTGGCCTTTTAAGGTTCTCCTCGTCTTTGAGATGTGCTGTTTGGATAATGACCCTTGCGGCCCCGATTTTGTGACATAGTACTCCTCCTCTTTGTCCATTTTCATTTCTTTGTGACGAAGTCACCCTCCCTTCTTGGCCCTCGTCATGACTCTGATGGGGTGGTATCCCCACGGGCGCTTGATGTATTGTTGCTACGGGTTGGGGCCTGGGGCTTTCTGGCTGTTGTTTGGCTGCAATCTTGTCAGTCGTATGTCTACAGGTCAGCGTCTTAGCATTCCTCTGTTTTGTGGACAAACTGTCCCACTCGGCGAGAGGAGTTCATAATTCAGTGGGGAATAAGACGAGTGGTTAGCTGGCAGTGGGTACAGCTCCAGAGCAAGAGCGAACAGCTACAGTGACGGACAGTAAGGACAACTGCAGGCAATGGGCAAAGGGGAAACCTCCCAGAAGAGGTTGGGATGACATGTACTGCAGGCAGGGTTCTTGCCGTTGGGAGGGTGATGGAGGGTGATGGATGACATTGCCCATTGTTGGCTGATACCTAGCTGGCTGTTCAGAAAGGTTGGTGGCATCCTATCATACATGACGGAGGAAGGAGAGGGACAGACTGATGCTGTGTGAAGACAGGCCCCTGCCAGATGGAGGGGAAATGGATGGTACCGGAAGTGTTTGATTCATGGCAACGGCGGGGGGAACAGACGGCAACAGAAGTGTTTTGATTCATAGCGCTGTTGGAGGAGGAGCAGATGAACGGCAAGGATGAATTACCGAGAGCTGTGGGTGCTGGGTGAAAAAAGAAACCACGATTATAGAAGAGAAAAGTCAATTCATTCAATAAGCCACCCTCCTTGACGGGAGTGTTGTCGGGAGGAGGAGGCTGTTTGGTCATTCAAAGAATGGAACTGTTGGCTGATGCCTTGGTTTGAAGATTGAGAGATTTAGAGATTGAGAGAGAGATTTAGAGAGAGAGAGAGAGAGAGAGAGAGAGAGAGAGAGAGAGAGAGAGAGAGAGAGAGAGAGAGAGAGAGAGAGAGAGAGNGGAGGGAGGGAGGTGTTTTGCGGGTTGGTTTTGGATTTTTGTAAAGTTCTACTCAGAAAAGAATGATGAATATGAGTTCTATTAGGAAATGGTCAGAAATATAGCCTCTAAATCCAAGTTGCTTAAATCAAACCTCGCTAACAGGCGTGAGGTCACACTTACTAGGCTTGTTCGTTTCTGGCCTACGACAAATCCGAGTGAGTGGGAACCTAGCCCTGGGTCACGAGTGGGTATCATCCTCCTCCCATCGTGGACATCGATGGCCAGTTGCAGCAAACGGCCAGTTCCGAAGGATGAAGATGATACGGAAAACCAGCCAATATGGCTGAATGGTGCACACATGTACCTGTTAAAAAACAGGCAGGAGCTCGAATCCCAATGGATACAATAAGGCTAATAAGGGCTATACCCCCTTTATGAAAAGAAAGAAAAACAGTGCCGTCCTGACAAAATGCTGTCCGAGTACGGCAATAGACAGATTCAGGAAAAACAGAACCAATAAAACAAGACTCACAGCAGTGCAGAGGCAACACTAGCGAAGCCGGGTATGGCTCACACCAGTTTGTTTCAGAAAGGTGTTGCAAACTTAATGTATAAGGGACACTGGACCCGGTTTCCAGCAGGTGCTGTTCCCCACCAATAGATTGGAGCGATCTGGCAGAGCTCCTCGGTCCGAGCGGTGCTCTTACCACCCCGGGACTGCAAGCCCACTGGGAGAAAGAGAGAGAGAGAGAGAGAGAGAGAGAGAGAGAGAGAGAGAGAGAGAGAGAGAGAGAGAGAGAGAGAGAGAGAGAGAGAGAGAGAGCAAAGAAAATAAATTTTGCCATGGCTCTTGCTGGCAGCCGTGTTTATGGAAGGCCACCGCCGTTTGACTTACATTTATCCTCCATCTTTGGGTTGTTGCCCATAATCAGTGGTGCAGCGTACTGCCTTGTTTATAACACCATAAAGTGTTTACTGGAATGCTCAGACAGGTCAGAGCTTTTCCATCTGACAGAAAGACATCTGGCATCTTTTTTGATGGAAGTCCCCGATCGAGAGGACTTGCTGATGGTCATCAAGTGCCATCTGAATGGGAAGGCTATCCGGGAGAAGAATATATTGAGAAAGAAATACTCTGAGCTCATTGGTGTGTTGTTACAGCTAGCTGCGACAGGGGTACTAGTGCCACCAGAGTTTACTGCAAGAGTAATGCAAGTCCGGCCTAGGAGTGATGGGTTGCTTGCAGTAGGAGGTAGTCACAGCGAAACAACGCTTTTGCCAAGGAGAGGAGAACTGGGAAAGGATTTCGAGCTGCCTTATACGAGGACAAGCGCTGACCAGTTGGCAGCTGACTCTACCAAGCTCGGTGGAGTGGGTTCAGTGTTTCGCGAGGGTTGTGAGAACTGTGACACTGCTGTTCTCGCTAGACTGCAGAACATAGCACTCCATCCAATCCTGAGAGGCACTTGTCTGAAGGATGGCATACAAGTGAAACCGCCTCCTGAGGAGCCAAGAGTTCAAAGGAATGCAGCCCAGATGTTGCTAGAGAGTTCCACGTGGAAGCGCGGTGAACGAGATAGCATTGGTTGCGCCTTAGATGGGAGCTCAGCAGAACAGGGTAGGACTAATCTTTGCAGCGAGGCTTGGCTTGCTAGTGAGCGTTATGTCAGCTCTGATTTATGCATAAAGGTGGATTGCAGTCTTATGAATGACCCTTTGTTGAAGGAATTGCGTGAGACTGATAAGGGGAAGCAGAAGGCATTGTGGAAGCAATCGAAAGGCATCATTCATGTCTGCGACCTTGACAAGCACGCATGGCTTCAGTGTCGCAGGACTTTTAGAAAGAGACCTCGGAAGAACCGCTTCACAGCAAAGTGGAAACCTCCATTTCAGCACGAAGACCAAAGCAACGAACAGAATGTGGGAACCTGTTCTCTTGAAGTAAATCACATATCTAAGAAAGCAGGGAACCAACCTGCGAAGGAGACTTTACTTCAGAGAGATACAGGGAAGAAACCAAGGAAAGGTATTCTTAAGAAGAGTTCAGCGAGTGATGAGCATTCTCAAAATGCGAGTTGTGAAACCGGTTCCCTAATGCACAGTTTGTCAGCGACCGCACAGAGTCATGTGCAACGGTTGGGTGAGAGCAAACACCAGAAGCATGGCAAGTTGTCGGTGAGGTGGAGCCTGCCTGGCTCTCCTGCACCAGGTCAGAAGGGATCATGGACAGGTTTGGAGGTTGCACAGATTTCTCTCAGAGAAAATGAAACCACTACGGTGAAATCGGTGGAAACAAAAGCCAGGAAGAGGCGTGCGTTGTCTGAACTAAGTGCACACCGCGCGAACTCGGTGGCAACAAAAGTGAGTGAATATCAAGGACCACGGACAAGGAGCAGTGGACTGAACCTTACTATCATGCGAGGAGAAGAGTGACTTGGGAGGCAGCACATTTCAGCTCTCTGTATGCATGTCGGTAAGGTGTGAGTGATATTTAGCTGCAACAGGAGCTAGGAACTTCGGGATCACAACATCAACGATACCAGGGGCATCAAACCACGTCTACCGACTGAAAAATTGGGCCAACAATCCAACCCAATGAACCAGCTGAAGAAGGGCAAGCCTCCTTGTAGCCAGGGGAGTCATGAGAGGGAGTGGTGGTTTAAGATATATGACTATGCATGTCGCTAAGGTGTCAATAATTTTTATCTTCAATAATAGCGAGGGGAGGTAGTGGTGGTTTAAGATATGTGACTAAGCATGTCGCTTAGGTGTCAATCATCTTTATCTTCAATAAGAGGTAGGGGCTACCTACTGCAAAATTGGGCCAACAATCCAATGCAATCCAGTGGACCAGCTGAAGAAGGGCAAGCCTCCTGGTAACCAGGGGAGTCATGAAAGGTAGTGGTGGTTTAAGAGCTATGACTAAGGGATCATGGATGGTGTTGCAGGCATCGTGAATCCACTGAAAAGAAGGCTCTGAGGACGATGCCGCAGGGTGTAGTTACCTAGCATTGACTTGAATAGTTGACCGCACCAAAGTTTTGCAAGGCTGGATCTAAGGGGCCGGTAAATGGTGGCACTCGTGCAAGTGGCAGTCTCCAGAGGCACAATCGGCTGTATGGGTTGGGCAATATGGTGCATGGTGCATGGTGCATGATGAGCTGACAAGGCATGGCTAAGAGTTTCAGTTGAGGTGCTCATTTCGTATGGAAGACATTTTTTCAGTATTCCCAACTTGCCGGGTAATGAGTGCCTCTTTGCTGCAGATTGAGCTGTTCTTGTATGCGATGTGCCTGGTAGTGGTTCTTAGGAGTCTTTGACGTAACTGACCACCAGAAAAAACACCGTAGGTCGACTTTACGTTGGGCTAGGGCTTGGACTAGGGTTGGGCTAGGGTTTGGACTAGGGTTTGGACTAGGGTTTGGACTAGGGTTAAAGCAGTATTTGGACTAGGGTTTGGACTACCGTCTTCACCCGAATGGAATGCCCGGTCATTATAGCTGCATTTAGCCTAGATGCAGCCATAATGACCGGGTGTTCTATCTGGGGGAAGATGGTAGGTTTTGGACCAGGGTTTGGACTAGGGGTTGGACTACTAGCACCTCCTTATGGAGCGTACTGAACTAGGCCCTCCTTATGAAAGGCTTTGGGCTAGGGTTTGCACTTTTGTTGGGGAGTGTTGCAGAGACGATAATGTATGGTGATTGCTTCCCTCAACACCCTTGGTTGTCATGGTAATTGGAAGGGTGGCAATGCAACTGAAGGTGAATCAAGGACAAGGGAGAACCCTTTTGAGTTAGGTAATTTGCGGATTGCATTGAAGCAAAGTTACGAAAGATTGAACCACCGGAGAGTGCGACTTAAGGCGTAAGTTTCAACTCGGTTTTAGAATGTTGAGGGGATGTTATCAGTCTTGAGAACCCATGATTGAGATTGGGAGGGGCTTGCTAACACTGTCCATGAGATCATGGACTTCACATTTCTTTGGTGATTGATTGAGGGCTTATTAAGCTTACGTTTCCATTTGAGTTTAGAATGTAAATGAGCTGTTATTGATGTGAGAGCCCATATTTGAGATGGGAAGGGATTTGCGAAAACTGTTCATGAGATCATGGACTCCATAATTCTTTGGCTTAGGGTTTAGGGCGTGTTGAGCGGAGGTTTCTACGCGGTTTAGAATGTTGAAGAGATTTTGTTGTTTTGAGAGCCCATTTTTGAGATGGAAAGGGGTTTGTTAAACCTGTTCATGAGATCATGGACTTCACAATTCTTTGGTGACTGATGGAGGGAGTCTTAAAGCGCCAGTACATGGGCACCTGGGCCTGGGCCTGACACCTCGAATTCTGGAAGCACAAAACGAAAACGCGACCGCTGATCCAATTTATGGACAGCAGGCCCAGCGTTTGACGTTTCGGCCTCGTTTTCTTGTGGCGACAAGTTTCTGACTGCAAGTCTGGGGCCGTGTACTTGTGGTTTAAGCGGAAGTTTCCATGCGGTTTAGAACGTTGAAGAGATGTTATTGGTGTGAGAGCCCATAGGTGAGATGGGAAGGGTTTTGTCAGCACTGTTTATGAGATCCATGGAGTTCGCATTTCTTTGGTGATTGATTGAGGGCGTGTCAGCCTGGGAGCAGGTGGCCATGGGGAACACGCGTATGTTTCCTGAATGCCAAGGGGCTAGTGCGATGAAGTTTCCC